ATTATTAATACACTACATATTGAATAAGTAATTACAATGAGGCATCTTTATAATCCGTATATTGCATGCTATTTCTATTAGGATGCAATTCATGCAGTGGACCGTTGTCAATTTCTTCATATCCAAAAAATCGTTTCACGGAAATTACAAGACGATCTGTAGGTCCCATTATTCCGTACTTCTTGCTTTTCTGAAATAAATAAATAATAAATAAATAATAAATGTTAATATCAACACTAATGATGTATCACAAAATCAAAACCAATATATACCTTTTTATTCGTATTATCATCATCTTCAAGAAGTTCTCTAACACGACTTTTTTGTGTATGTAAAATTAAAGAAGAAGGTAGATTTTCAATTGCTAGCGCTTTTGGTTTTTCTTTAAAAAATCTATAAATGTTCCATCTTTCAATCACAAAATCTTTCTTTATGGTAGGATCAGCATTCCTACGAAAAGTTTCTACTTGAATTTTATGCTTTTCTTCTTCTGCAATTGCAAAATTTTCTTGCACAACGGCGATAAACATGTTTAAAAGAACAACTATTCATGCAAAGATAAAATTAATATTTTATACCATTAATACCACAAATATCACCAATCCTCAAATGTCTAGGATTAATCAATGATATCAAATACTTACAATTTGATAAACCAGTGTAAAAAATAATAAATAAGCCTGCTATTATAGAAGTAGCAACAGATCCACTATCAGATTCATATCGAAAAACACTATAAAGCACATTTGCCCAATCACTAGAAGAAAAAAGCTTTAAATGAAAAGAAATATTAACATGAGAATGTTCAACAATTTTCAATAGATATATTATATTAATAAATAATTACCTGAAACATAGCCAAGAAACCATTATAGATATCACTAAAAGTCATGATGATTGGATTTGAACTATCATCGACTGCGGGGATTGACCCACGCAATAATTGTATACACTATATAAGTGTATAAGATAAATAAGATATATAAGATTAAGAAGATTAACATAGATTATATTTATTTTATCACTTTAAATTTCATTACTCACATTAATTCTCGCGTTAGAGATGATTTTGAGAATTTTTTCTTATGCTCCAAAAATTCGGTCTTTTTTTCGTTCACGTGCGAATAATGTAGACCTATAAAAATTTAATTAACGGACATATGATTCAATTACCTGAAAATAAGAGTAAAACGAAATAATAATAATTACTTGGATGTAGTAAATGCGGAATGAGAAGTTTCTTCACGAATTTTTTCAAATACTGTAACGATCACAGCAACAAACAAGTTAAGTAGCCAGAAGTTTAAAATAAGGATAGACAACACATAGTATAATGTTGCCCATCCATAATCAGTATCCATTGTTCTGTATAAAAGATCGGTCCAACCTTGAGCTACGCAAAAAATTTTAAAAGACATTAAAAAGTATAAATAAATGATCATGAAAATTTTCCAAACAAAATTAAAATATTACCTACTTGAAGCGATCACAAAGGTTAGGATCATGGCGGAAAAAATATTATCATAAGACACCATATTGTTGAATGGATTCTCGGTTTCCTTATTTTTAAGAATATGACAATCATATTTAATATAATTGTGTATTCGTACATTTGACCAAGACATTAAATATAAAATGTATACAATACCGTGCAAATCTGTCCGACGGGACAGAGATATCCTTTAGGAAATGTTGGGAATTGTTTCTCATTTAAGCTTATATACGGGTAATGAAGACCGTCTGTTCCGACGTATCCTCCACACCATTGTTGTGAGATTGTAAAATTGTTAGCGCCATTAGGATCTACCCATACACATCGTCTCCGAAATGAACCCTTGAAAGCTTGAATGCCAATAATACTAATGATGACAAAAAAGAAACTAATAAAAGTACAAAACAGAAACAAAAAAAACCAAACAAAAAAAAAAAAAAAGATGAAAAAAAAAAGAAAGAAGAAAGAAAGAGGAAAAAAGATAAAAAAAAGACGGGAATGGAAAGAGAAAGACAACAGTCGACACAAAAAAAAAAAAAAAAAAAAAAGAAAAAGAGGAAGAAGAAAAAGAGAAAGAACAACAACATACACGTATATATATAAATAGGATAAGAACGATAAAAAGGGGAGAAGAACAACAAAGGAAAAATAAGCTGGAAAGAAATAAAAGATGAAGAGCACACACCCAGCACCAAAACCAATTCAGCTATTCTGGCAGCAAAATCAGGCATCTGTAACTGAAACAACAAGGAAGATGCTTCCAGAACAATGATGACAAAAACGTTAACAAGTTCAAATAAAATAGGACATTAATTCAAACAGAATGTAATAATATCAGGTTCAATAAACGGCAAGCAAAAAAAAAAAACAAAAAAAAACAAATAAACTCAAGTGCACAGAATGACAGAATCACATTCTTTTGGAACTACTATCTGATTCTGCCATTCTAACAGCCGGCCTGTGCTAGCAGGCAGGAAACTACCGGCTGATTGTAAATAACTATACAAATAATGCTTATCTAATTATCACCTAGCCTGTTACTGTGATCCCTAGCGCAATTGCTATTGCTAACTTTCAGGTCAAATCATTGTTTCAGTTCCTATTATTCTTTACAGTTGTTTATTACTATGTCTATTTTCAATAAAAATTATCTCCAGCTTTAATCCAGCTGGCTTTGCTCCACACGTGATTTGTATGTGCCAATGTTTTTCGTATAGGTTGACAAGGCTCAACAATTCGAAAAACCAGACAAGTATGAATTCGACCCATCACCAGGGCATGTGCAGGTCCAGCCAATCAGACAGGGGCACCAACACATGATTTACAAGCTACCAATATCACTGTATAAATACTTATATTCATATCTCCAACTCTAACCCTAACCAACTCTGTTTAGATAGAAATCTTTTTGCCCTACTCAGCTCTCCTCTAACAAATTTACCTAAGGAACCACTATCTGATTTTGCCATTCTAACAGCCGGTCTGAGCTGACAGGCAGGAAACCACCGGCTGATTATAAATAACTATGCTAATAATGCTCATCTAATTACCATCTGGGCTGTTACTGTGATCCTCAATGCAATTGCTATTGCTAACTTTTGGATCAAATCATTTTTTCAGTTCCTATTATTCTTCACAGTTGTTTATTACTATGTCTATTTTCAATAAAAATTATTTCCAGCTTTAATCCAGCTGGCTTTGCTCCACATGTGATTTGTATGTGCCAATGTTTTTCGATGTAATCGTGCAATTATGATCATGATTTCTGAGTCGTGGTTGGCTAACTGAGTTTTAATTCAGGATTGTTGTGCTTATATAATAATGTACAAAAAATAACAAGAAGAAAAAATCTATAATTATAAGAGTTTGCATGATAATAATAAATTAATGAAGATACGTTAACATTAATAATGTTGAAATTTGATAGGTAATGCATAAATGTTACACAAACAATCAAATTAATCAAATTATATATTACACAGATTGTCGATCCTAGAAATTTTGGAATACATCCTAGTGATGATACCTCCAGGGGAGACTGTCTCAAATTAGGAAAAAATTACCTGTGCCACCTAGTTGTTATACAATTTATAAACAATTTTTTTTTATATGTTTTATAATACTATTAGTTCTGATCAATCAAATTAGTAAATTTTATACGTAATAATTTTAATAATTTAATTAATTAATTAATTTTTGTTTGTCATAGTAATCATAGTAATTTATTATTTTAATGTTGTAATAATGTTGCGATTATTTTTTGAATTAAATTAAAATATTTATTTAATAAAAAAAAATTAATACAATTGAGAAAATGATTTTTTGGCATGTTCTAATGAATTCTCTGTTGCAATTACATCGTCAATTGCTGTTTCAGCATTACTCAAATCATCATCGACTACGTTTTCAGTATCCTCTTCGATAAACTCATTTTCTTCTAATTTTTTCCTCATACTTACCTTCAATGCATTAATATTTTTTGTAATTTCGTCCTGAAGATATTCGAGACAAATTATACACTTAGATCGACACTTTTCCAAACAATAGTTATGATAACCATGCCTATACGAAAGAATTTTGCCATTATCTGAATAGTTTGCAAAGGTGATACAGTCACAATGAACGTAATTGCACAAGACAGTTGTAAAGAGTTTTCTAGATATAACAAACTCTCGTGGAAGGTGATGATCTGTTATTTTATAGCCTAAAGAATATAACTTATACGTATTAATACCATCAGAAGAATTAATGATTGGAGAGTATAAATGGTGCGCACAATATATTTTTTTAAACATATCCAAAAGTATTACAACGCACTTTTTGTAAAGTGTATGTAATTGCTTGGGAGTATATGGATATTTAATCAAATTTACAAAATATTGTCGAAAAGCATTGTCTTCTCGGTGCTGAAAGATAAAACGTGCCACCTTTTGTAACTGATCTGCTTCTGTAAACTTATTTGTATGCCGTTGAATTATACTGTAGACAAGTTCTATGGGACAGTCACTCAAAGAAGCAAGGTAATTAGTAATTATATTGAACATTGGATAAATATTTTCTATCTAATAAAAAATATCAGAAAAAAACATTAAAGGTGCGCGCTTATAATTTTTTCGATCAAATCAAAGAAAAAGATCGCACCAACAACGAATACAAGCTTCTTCATAAGCTGGCCAGTTTTCTTCTCGATAGTGTACTGCGTAAACGTCAAGGACTAAGGGGATTAAATTACTTAAAAGATCAGTTAAATATAAAAACTCAAGATTTTTACATGTATGATCAAACTTCGAAACAACGATATCAGAGATTTTAAGCCACGCCATATGCACAACATGAAGAATTAAATCAATTCGCCATGGCTGTGGCTTTTTACCAAGTTTCTTTTTTTGCCCAAAAATACCCTTGTAAATATCATTAAATAAACACGAATTCTTCATAAAAACGAGCTCCTAACCATTTAAGGAAACGTAAAGAGGTCCCATCATAGGCACGAATGCTATAACAAATGGAGGAATTACTTGGTTATCGAGAAGAAGCCGATGTGCAATAGTTTTGCGAATAAAGAACTGCCCAGGCCAGTCCGCAACAATTGGAATTGCATTATTGAAAAGATACTCCTGCATCAGACTTTGATTATACACGATTTGAAGAGCTTTCGTATAATCTTCAACACTCTTCAATTTACTTTCAGTAAAATCAAAAAGAATGGCATTCTGTATATGTCTGTCGTTCTTTTTTTCTACTAACCTATCATTATAACTATGCAAGGTTAGTCTTTCTATGAGCTTATCATCAGGACACTTACCTACGTAATTTTGTCTACAATTATAATAAGAAGTTCTAAGATTCACGATGAATCGTTCGTCAAAATGCTTCAAAATCAGCTCATCATCAACAACTTTTGGGTTGAGCACCCCGTTACGTGGTATTGCTGATATAGGGCACGGATTTGCAATAATCATCACCATAGGTGCCGCCCAAGATGTGCTGGTAGTGTCAGGCTGTTGTCGTGGAATGTGAATGTTATGATAATCATCA